CATCTATCGTCACGCTGTGTAACGGAAGGCTTGTTTGCTTGGTTTTTTCGCATATTCTATGGGCTATTTTTGCTATGTTGTCTATATCGGCATCCGTATCTCCGACGGCTAGGATCTGCTGTACATTTAACGGAAGTCGGAGAAGCCACAGTTGATTAAACAGGTTATTGTCTATTCGCCTATCGCCCAGCAGATTTTTCATATAACTATCCATCTGTGACGGAGTTCTATCCTCCAATTGTACTTGGTTAAGGAGCTGCTTAACAGCTTGTTGGTCACTTAGAGAGAGTTTTAACTACTGCGTCCTTTAGCACGTCGTATGGCTTTCAGTTTCTGTTTTCGCTAACGCCTCTCCTACGCTATCTGCTACTTCATCTGGAAGGAGTGTGCTTGTGAGGCCAAACTTATCTCTTTGTAAGTTAATGCAGTTAGCCATAAAATAATTTTCAAGTCTAATAAACCAAAGCTTTGGTTCGGAAGATGAGGAGACCTTACGGACGGGGTTCGCTGTAAACTTGAGTGTTTTCGGAAGACATATTTATAAGAAATTTAAATAGTGAGGATGATACAGGTATTCAGTGTTTGACAACGCTTCTACCAGTAACACCTTCTAATATGCTTTGTTCCCACCGAGAGAAATCAAAAGACAGAGTCGAGGAGATCGGAAGAGTGTATTTGGCGATAACCAATATATCGGAAATCTCTGATCTAATCTGGCTAGTGATTGCGGTTGATGTTGAGCACAGCGTTACAGCACGTGATCTGGTGCGGATGCATGACCGAGCGCCTTCAGCTAGATTAGTCCACTAAAACATATGGTCAGCATCCAATGTCGAAAACCTACAGAGCTATTTAGTTTAGGGATTTATTTACCGCTACAATAGCATACGAATATAATGTCATAAAGAAAAAACGAACGGAAAAAACAATGATATTAACAAATGGTACAATTTATAACATAGAACGAACTTAATTGCACCAATATATCAATTGTCTGAGAATAATCGCTATTTATTAAGATTATTATCGTCACGTTCAATAATGTTTGTGAAATAATGTACGTGTAACTAAAATATTAATATAATAAATGCACAGTCATAATTATAGTCCATATGATAATCAAAATTAAGACGAAGTGCGTTGAATTTTCGGAGTCTGATTATATAGTCGAAACTTGTTTCCTGTTCTCATGTCGGTGTTACCAGTTCTGTAGTGACTGAGCTTCGTTGACCAACCACCCTCGTAACTGTTATCATATAATAATCAACGGTGTTTGAAATCAGAAGGCAAAGAGAAGCAGCGACTACAGCATTATTAGTCGATAACGCAAACCATAAAGACGAGAGGCAAATGAATGAGTCAGAGAACCGAGAGTGTAAATGTACATGCATATATACATAGGAAAATGAATGGATCATCGAATCAATTAAACATCTAATAATAAAGCTAGCAAAATGAATATATGCGTAGGCTGTGATCAATGTTCAAACATACACACTTCATACAAGCACAGAAACAATAAAGGTACAATAAGTTGTTATAGTACGGATGGCTTTTTCCGCTAAATAAGTCAACAAAAGTGCTTAACTGAGTTAAATGAGAAAAAGCTCAATTGCACGTGAGTTGCTACATCAGTAATAAGTACAGAATGTACATTAGGAGAGTGACTTCGAAGAACATCACCACATTGAAGAAACTTTAGTAGACTTCGTAAGTATGACTGGCTCTCACCGTATTGAATGTAGAAATATTAAACAGTTGGTATTACAAGAAAAACTACGGAAAAACGGGGATAGTATCGAAGAGCACCCATCAACGAACAAAGTTCTGTAAGACTTTTGGAGACGGTGCATGTCAGTGGAGCTAGTTGTTTCATATCTGGTTTAAAGATATTACTATTAACTGGGTATCCAAGGCATTCGAAATTAGATACACAAAATGAACACTTATTTGGATTCTCGGTAATATTCTTTCCGATTAAACGACACAATGAGTCTAATCATGAACTACCTTATCAGAACCATGAACAATGAGATCATCTTAATAAACTTCAAGATCACTGACTACTTTAATCATAACTTCTTGAAACATAGCTGGAGAACAACTTAAACCAAATGGAAGTAATTTATACTTGAACAGATAAAAATGAGAGTTAATTGTCGTCAATATAGATGAAGATTATTCTAAAGGGGTTTGAAGACAAGCATCTTTTATGTCGGCATTCGAGAAGACCTTAGAATCATGAAGTCGATTTAAAATACTTTCAGCCTCTACTGTCGTGTACGTTTGCTTCAATAAACGTGAGTTCAGTGATAAACTATAGTCACTCTATATTCTGGGGGTCTTGCCATCCGACTTCAATGGTGTAACAATAGGAGTACCACATGCTGAAAACTGAACCGGTCCAACTGTACCTTTCGCACACAAGCCCTTCAATATCTTATGTAATGCGTGTCGAAGACGATAAGGAGATATTAGTACTTGAAGCTTTATAGGCCAAGTTTTCATACCTCCACTGCACTTAGCTATTAAATCTTTAAGTAAAACATCAGACTTTTTTTCAGAAACTAGTAACAAAACCACTTTGAAACTTTTCAAAATTTTTAAACCCAGTATTGACAGTTATGTTTTGCTAACTAAAAACTCACAAGTGTATGAAGAATCATCATCTCTTATAAGCAATTCACAGATTCCTCGTATGGACAATGTGTCCATTAATCCCCAAAATCGAGACTTCAGTGGGTCGTACCACAACATTAGGATCCAAAGATTTCAGGTTCTAGAATGAAATAATGAACTCTATACTGCCTGTCACGAAATGAACCACGTGATGTATTTAGTAGCTTTTAAAAATGAGCATTACCTTCCGAAATTGATTAAGATAAATGATCAATAGAGACACCCGAATTAAATTACATGGTTTAGAACTTGAAGCGAAATGAACAGTAGTTTTGCATACTGACTGAACGCTCCCTATCTTATCACATTTAAAACACTTAGCATTACGCAATATACATGAGTTATGAGAATGAAATTTGCCACAGGACAAACATTTACCCAACTTGCTCTCGCCTTACATATTTATACGAGAATAGGAATAACTACTAAACGAACGCAAGTTTTATCAGTTCTGAGACCGTTTCATCATGACGACTGAGCAGTATATTAGAAAATTTCACTGACTAGAAATCAAGTTCATTCACTACTTCACAGTTGATAAATGCAGCTCTAGCATATTGAAAGGGACAATTCAGCACCGTTAACAGTGCTTTCCAGATATGGTATGTTAATTGCTGGAATTAACGCATCCCTCAGCTGCACATGAAGTTGGTCATAAAAATTACACTTGATAGCTTGTTTTTGCAATTCAAGGATGAAGTCCCTAAACTTTTAGTTATTCTGATGAATCATCTTATGAAATGTGGCTCTCACGAAATTTTAACACGTGCACTTTACATGATTTAATGGCAGTTCCCTGGTATGTCAGTCTTTAATAAAATGTAGACTTCCCTTTCGATGGATGTAAGCAAATGTTCCACAATTTTCTCACCCTTCACACCTTTCTTGCTCATGCTCCAGATTTCAAACCTTTCCAAATAATTCTCAAAAGCTTCAGAAGTTGAATGCACAACTATTCCATCACAGGTTCCATCGAGACGTCTATGCGATAATTAGGAGTATTTGAATTATAGTACAAACTAGGAATCCCAGAAATAACGCAATTTAAACAAGAACTTTATGGGCACGGATGGTTGTATTGTATTTTGAATTCGAAATCAAGCAGTTATCAAGTACAGAGGAGTCTTTGGTTCATGCAAATACATTATGGCAATGAATTAGCTTACAGATGACACATCGATCATCATTAAAAACTTCCTTAAAAAGTTTGCTAAATTCATAAATACTCTTAGATGACATCCAACTCACTTTTGAAAACGAATATGGTGATTTACCATTCTTACTGTCTAGTTACAACAAATTCTGATCAAAATCTATATTTATACATACGCCGAAAACTGACACATTCAAAACGGTATATCGGTTTCAACACTGAACATCCCTTCAGTGCGAATATTTCCTTAGCTCTGAATCTATTCAAATGAGCTACCGTTATCGTTACCTCAGAAGATGAGCTGACGGAAATCTTACAATTTAATTAACTTCATATAAACACTAATAAAAGTATGTCAAAACGAAAGGATTTGTCTTCAAATAACCTTTCTGATGAAATGTCTTGGATTGGTACTATAATTTTACCTCAGCTCCACTGTCCGATAGAATAGTTAAAACTTACCATAAAAATGTACATAATTATATCTTTATATGTCTACGAACTTTACGAAATGCTTTGATTCGAATTAAATAAAAGATTCAATTTACATCTACATAGAGTTGTATCTGCGTATTAGGTTGTTTCGACTGTGAGGCGTTATAGATTGAAGTCCGCTCGTGAAATCTCGACCCGTCCCAAGTAATACTTAAGCTGCACGAAAAGGCCTAATAATCATGTAGTGCCCAAAAATCTACGGTACATAATATTTTCAATAACCAGTGAATTGATATCAAAATAGTTCAGAAAGACTTTTCCAGCTATAAAAAAGATAAGTAGCTGAAATGTTTTATATAATGGTAAATTCCTCTTGCCTCAAATATAGTACAAGGCGTGGCTATAGATCCAACTTAGATTGTTTCAGTCAGCCAGCAACAAAGTAGAACTTCGTACGTACATCAATGCAAGTTGCCATACCACCTAGACTGTATTTCCAAACTACATTTAATTGTTACTTAAACAATTGACAGATACACATAGCTATACACACAGTGATTTCTCACATAGAATCATTTCGCCTAATTTGATTTTGGTTATAGCAAAAATATTTTGTTGTTTCCTATATACTATTTAAAACCTGCGTTAATTTATGTATTAACTGTCAAGACGTGGCTTACATATCACAAATCCAGATTTCTACTCAATCGGGATATCACGAATAAATTATTAATTATTAAATAAGACCAAGTTTTTTTATTACCAAAAAGGATAAATCAGATAGGTTGTTGATATCGTGGGAGGTAGTAAGTGATCATGTTTGAAGCCATATTCTTAACACTAATTTTATTACAAAAATTGTTAGTCCTTGCGCATTTAGATCATCGTTCTGACACAACTTCCTTGGTTTATTTAGTCTGAAAAAAATTGGTCAACCTAACTTATTCAGTTGCTTTAAAAGGGAATCGAACAAGCTATATGTGATCAATAATCAAAATACCAGTATGAACAATCATAAACAATAGACAGTAAAATGGATTTAAAATAAATCTTTCAACAGCTATTGATGATTTTACAAAAAAATAGTTGACCACGTGTTTCTATTTGTCCACTTTCCATCTGATTCGAGTATCTTCAATGAATGAATGATATAAGCTGTGGACCACTACCTACCTGAACATAAAAATTGAAAAACTCCAATGAACATCAAAAATAGTGTTCACATAACATACATTGAACCTGCTTTAGACAAATATCAGATAACTGCGGTCTGAATACGGAGTAAGATAAACAGAATATAGTGGAGTTCATGAGTCAATTGAAGCTAGACCACCATGGAAAACCTGGAAACACTGGACGGTGATTTTGTCCAACTCCTAAAAATACTTCATTTCCAGTCGGATGCTCATTAAGTATCAGTTACTCTATTGTAACGCTAACTATACATAAAACAATTTGGAGAACGGTAATGATGCAACAGTGATACATAAATTGAAATCGGCTGAGCAATTGATATTTCAGCAACCAATAACGCTAATTCTGAGTGGTAAAATGATCTACATTTTTAAAACTAAAATTAAATTCTATACTATAGTAATCAGGCCTTAATTAAGTCCTTTACATTTAAACTATTGATGTGGTTTAGGGATATTTGATCAGTTAATTAGTTAAATGTAAATTGTAATCACTTAAACATGACAGACTACAACAAACATATACACCATAGAAACATCTTAGAGATAATAATAAATTTGACTTTATTTAAACACATAAACATTGATACAAGGAGGCGGCAAATAGATATGCGCCACACTTCATCATTCGATGTGTATGAGGACTGGGATAACCTCGGGTGCCCAAAGAGAAGCAGGTGGTTTTCTTAGGGAGCCACACCCAGAGCCTTTCACCAAGAGGTCTAATCCACAAGGCAATGGAGCAACGTTAAGAGATGCAGTCCCATGATAGCCAGTAACCAACGGTTGGTACATACGCCATTTTTTCCTTCAAGATACTGGAGCCTATGTGCACCACTGGTTTAGGATCAGGGTTCTTCAACCCCCCTCGGTGGATCCTCCATATCCGCAGACCCGATTAAAGAGCCAGATATTCGCTTTTCGCTCTCTCGAATTCGTAAACAACATTCCCGCAGCGAGAAGGTAGTGAGTAGGACTTCCCTGGCAGTAGTTGTATGCACGTGGTCATGTGAGATCAATACGAGAGGGAGAACTGACTCTCTCCATTCTCGGTCGTACCAGGGCATTTGATGGCTTGATAACAATTAATTAGAATAATCAGAGACATTCTGTAGTATGTATTAGAAAAATAAGCTTGAAAATGAACAATAAGATTCAATGGAATGAATAACCTAGTTACTTACTTCAGTACTGATCAAGTATTTAATACCACCAGAAATAGAGGGCAATATTTTCAAGAGATTCTGTAATGAAACATCAGAAATTTAAACGAAATGTATGAGTGAAGTAAAATTAGACGAGGAACATTATATTTTAAGAAAATTTTATTAATTTTGCTTCACGTACACCCAAGATATAACACAAGGATGGAAAACTGCTCGAAACAGATAGGTAACAGTACGTAGCAGTCAGTATAAAGACAACATAAGTGGATAAGTAACAAATATTACGATATCCCATCATTAAAATAATCTAATTTATTGATTGTATGAGCCATAGTATGATCGAATTCGACTCTTACTCGTTAACAGCAAAAAATGTATAGAAATCTACTAAGGAATGATAGACAAGTAAAAAACTAGTTCAGCAAACAGAATTACAATCAAAACATGCTACGGTAAATCCTCACTGATGATAAGAGTAAGATTATCTTTACTGCTGACGAATTTAAGTTTAACAGTTGAAGCCATGACCAGCAGAGTCGAATTGGTGTTCGGTGAAGACATGTATCTACCTCAGACAACGAAAGAATGCTTGCGCAAGATCATGGGTCGATTGAAGTTCGACATTCATACCGATGAATGCCAACTCAATAATCCAGATGTTGGGCGATCGTGCGCGAAACTGAAGGTCCCGGGTTCTAGTACCGCATGCAGGATCCTGAATGAGCAGTGTTGTGAAGGCCCATACTAGGATAAAACGGCGATTCAGTGCTTTCAGGTTTTCAATGGTAGTCTAGCTTAGATCGACCGATGAGTTTAAACATTAAAATCACTACTGCCGATCACCAGCATTCTCTATCCAACTCTGTCCTGAGCAATTATTTCCGGTTGATATTCATCCTTTTCATGTCTGCTTCCAATTCTCAACGAACTGTGTCCCTTGGTCTTCTAGTTTTCCGTTTCCTTTCAACATTCCTAGTTAGAGATTCCTTCGTGATGCAGTTTAACGATTTCCAAAATGTGCGTCCTATCCACCTCCAACGTCTTTTCCTAATTTCCTCTTCAGATGGAAGTTGGTTTGTTCTCTCCCACAGTAGTCTGTTGCTGGTCGTATGCGGTCAATAGTTGTTGGGTATCTTCAGTAGACAACTATTTATAAATACTTGCACCTTCTTGATGATGGATTTAGTAGTTCTCGAAGTTTCAGCTCCGTACAGTAGAACTATCTTGACGTTCGTATTGAAGATTCTGACTTTGATATTGGTTGAGAGTAGTTTTGAGTTCCGTATGTTCTTCAATTGTAGGAATGTTGCCCGTCCTGCTGATCTCGAAGATGGGCGTCTACTGAATCCTTGGACCGGTTCAGTAACATCTGAAAACTTTTCCTGGTACCGATCATAGTGCGGTCTCTATAGTCCTCACAATTGCTCAGAACTCCTTTTTTGGTATCCTGATGAGGTGTTCTTCTTAAGAGTCTGTCGGCACATGTTGAACCTTTGTAATGCTGTTTTTCCAGTTGTCCAATGTTTCTTTCGCTTCAGTTTCATCTCGACAACCTCCAGGCGGTGGTTTGAAGCTATTTCAGCTCCTCTCCTTGTGTATTGAAGAACACAGGTGCGGACAACCGAATGTATTTAAGCACAAAATTACAGAGCATCTCAATAAAATAAAGAACCGTATAGTAAATCGTTGATTTGCAAAATATCCATCGTTTGAAACTTGACTGTTCTTGTTGCAAACATCAATACATTGTCTCAGATTTCACTATTCATGCGTTTTCATACCGATTGCATTCCGTTCCCGTTCTTTCCTCATCGACATTCTACTGAAATACACTCTATCCCTGACCACCATTATATACTACTTGTGTGGATATAAGTAACCCATACCACACTTGTTCTTACGTCTTACATAGAACTTTTTAGTGATACAGATATGATCAATCTGGTTCTTCGTAGTGTGGTGTGTGGTCCGGTGATACGCACGTAGCCTTGTGTATGCGTTCGTGTGGGAATATGGTGCTCCCTACAAATATTTTGTTGAATACAAATGGATTCGTGAATCTCTAACCATTCGCGTTCCTTTCTTCTAGTCCATGTTGTCCAATAATATCTTCATATTCGGTTTTTTTTTCCATCCTGACTTTGGTGCTTAGATCTCTCATCAGGTCCTTTTCTGAGCACTCCGTTATGATCGATTGCAGCCTTTCGTAAAACCGATCCTTATTTTCGTCACTGCCATCATCGGTGGTGCATCACATTGGTTGTGATTCCCTCCTTTGTTTTGAAGGGTGCTTTGATGATTCTAGATCTATGAGATCCCCACCCAATATGTGCATATAACGCTTCTTTAAAAAAAGCATCAGAGCAACCTCCGAAAGATGTGGAGCATTTTGCTCTTCCTGATCAGAGTACAGTGGCATCTCTCCTGAATCTATCCTTTTCTGTTCATCTTGGGTTCTATAGGTTTCACTGATTCCGAGAACCGCCAAGTTGAATCCTCTCATTTCCATAGCTGTTTGACTGGTCCTCCCGGTTTACAACATCGTCCGGACATTCTATGTACCTATATTAATGGTTGATATGGTTGGTAGAATGGGAATCAGCCACGTGACTACCAAAGAATGTCGGCTTTTACTACAACGCGTCATAATTCTTCTGAATGCAGATGGTTGAGCTTCCAAGACAGAGTTCAAATACTTGATATTATTTTTTCTGGTTAGCGTTTTTTGGCAAGGTTGATGATTCTGTGTCCAACCCACCTCCATTACCTTGGCTTGCGACCAGCAGTAACCCTAGAAGAGCTACAGGCGGATTTTAATGCCAAACACAACATACTGTTGCATACATGATAAGACAGAGTTAAAAGTGTGACACATACTTTAGTCAAATTTATTTTAATGAATTCGGTATGACAATCATATTTTCCTTAGTAATTAAGTACGGATTTTTTCTTACTATTTTCTTATTATTACGAAGTGTTTTTCAAAAGTAATTACTCCGACCATAGAGATAAATCTCACCGTAATATGAGCAGAGTAACAAAATAGTCTCAGAGACATTATTGAATACAATGTTAATTAGTGTTCCAGCAAAAGTTTAAAAAAAACTTGTAAAATAATGTGTACGTACACAACAAGTATGGTGGTGAAAGATATGTACACTACAGTACATATTTAACCGGGAAGTTTTCAAAAATACGAATGTGATATGGATCATTGGGTGAAAGACTCTTTTAGACATTCATTTTTACTTCTGATCTATTAAAGTCAGGACAATTTGATAGTACCATTTTATATATTATCACCTCTGAATTAGCTAATTTTATGAATTCGGTGTCCATCTTGTTGTGTTAATGAGGTATGGCAAATTGGACCGATGCATAAATGTGCCTGGTCCTACGTTGTAGCTGACTGACTGATGGTTAAGTGTAAAAGGTCCGTAATGGTTGCTGAATTAGATTGCATGAATTTTACATCGCTAAGCAACTAAAATGTTTTTATTCAAGCAGTGTAGACGGTCAAGCATTTATTGCAAATGTAACAGTAATTGCTGACAAAATGAGTTACATTACTTGCGAGCTAGTAATACTATACAGTTGATCATATATTGGTAAATGAAAAAAGGATAAAACTTTAAGACGCAATACTTAAGTGTTGAATGAACTTATAAGAAAAAGGTCGGAAATGGAACCAAGGACCGTTTCAAGTGAATGAGAAGACCACATACATGGAGATTTCCCAAGGAATGGCTAATAACTTCTAAAAGTCACTGATGACTCAAATACATATTACTCAAACTTATAACAATAATAAATCTGTATGCCAACTGAAATTGTTATTCATTAATAACTTCATTCGTCAAATAAGAACTACATCTTTTGACGGAATGGGTAGTACAAAGTGACATCACAGATGACAGGTTTTGCTAAAATCTACTAATTTTAAGAAAAAATAAATGATAGTTAGTATGGATATAGGGGTCTACGAAGTCCTTGTAAAAGACGTAGGTCTCTAGTTTGAATAAAAAAAATGAAACACGTGGCAGATTGTGAGATACTTCACAAACATGATTAAGAGAATTCAATGACTATCTCTAATAGATATACGATTTTCGATTGACCGAAGCATTCGTCTTACAGCGACTAAGTCATAGATTTAGTCAATTAGTCACAACCACAGATAAGCATAGTACAAATATGTATTAACCCAAGTTACAAAACCTAATAAGCAGGGTGAAAAGAAACTAACGAGGAAAATAGCGAAGACGAAATGAAACAGTACCAACGATAATGTGAAAGACTAAACACTGAAAATGCTGTTCGAGAATATGGGATAAGAAGTTATAGATGAAGGAATTCTGAAACACAAGATCTAGAGGTAGATAAATAGTGAATGCATCTAGGTCATTTTGACTGCTTTTAAAACATGTCACCCAATGTTGAGCGATTGTGTTTATCACGCGGACCCTAAACCAAGTAGTATGCACCTACCAGACTATCAGCTAATTACTTCATGGACTGATGTCATATTTCAATTTGAAGGCTCTCAGATTTCAACTTACATAACCAAGTCCCGCCAACACTGAGCGTATCCAAAAACTTCACGCCCTGAGATCAACCTAGGAGAGAATATTTTACAATCGGAAGTAAAGGAACAGATCCCAAACATCCTTGTGTCGTTATTTAAGACGTCCAGGTAACTCTGCATTACGCTTGCTCCCTACCAGATAAGGAAATGTTAACTGAATACTCCATGTGGATTCATGGGTTTCTATGAAAAAGGATAATCCCCGATCTGATCCATGAAATCAAATAAAAAGAGTGGTATTGGATAACATTGACGAACACTACTTGAGACTGACAATTCTAATGACGATTTGTGATAATCTATGACTGGATTGGCTTAAACATCACTACATCTACTTCGGTATGACCACACAGACCACGTCATTAGACATTGTATCAAGTCTAGTTGGAAGCCCAATTTACATAAATCAATACTTGATTATTGAGTTATATTAAAAACAAATACAAAAATAAGCGTGTAAAACCTTTCGGCAGAAGGTTCACATTTTAAACAGATCATAATCATTTTGCACTACATAACGATCATTTGAGTGAGAGACAAATTCTTAAGGTGCTTGGATAAGAAAAAAGTATCTCGAATAGAATATTTTTAAAAGATAAATAAAAATGATTCCTCTAGAGAACTGTGAGAATAATTACCTTCTAAAAACTAAACTTGTAAAAATTACCTGATCTAACGGTTTATCTGACAAACCGTAGGGAATCCCAGTAACTTTCAGATACTTATTTGAATTCAGACATTTGATGGTAATTTTATCCGCATCATTAACAGAGCTATCGGCTCCCACCGTATAACCAAAACATTCAACAAGATATTTCAAAACAATGGAAATATTTTGTGATTCAGTCAGTAAAAAAGCATTTGGACCAGCGTCAAACGTGTAAGCAACCTATACATTGAAAAAAATCGTTCATTATTAACCGTAAATTGAAAATACCATCGGTAGATTTAGAGAACAACTTAACTGAGAACTTAATCTAGTTTAAAGTTTTTTATGCAGTAGTCCACCAAGATCTTGTAGAAACAACAGATATGGTTAATGGGTATTAGCACTGAATCAAACAAATGTTAGCAAACTCGTTCCAGCTTCACTCAAATAGTAAAACTAACTGAAACACAGAGTGATATAAGATCTATGAAATGACAGTTTATTTATTTATTTAAATACATAAATATTCGTACGGAAGGGCACCAAATATATATGCGCCACTTAATAACATTGAGAAAATGAAAAGATTGAGAAAAAGAAGAACAATAACGAATAGAAATTAGTGTATGATGGGAGATGCAGTTCGGTTAGCAAATATACAACCAGAAAGAATTCTTTAAGTTAAAGAAGTTACGTCCTTTTTTATGAAGTAAAATAAAGTTACAGCAAGATCGCCAATAGCTTCTATTCTGAGTCATATCTGATAACGTCTCTAGCCACCGTGTTGCATCATCTTTAGGACCTCAACCGGAGAGTCGTAAAGGACCAACAGAAGCCAGTCCTGTACAAATTTCTTTTATAGCACGACACCATATCGTACACTGACAACCTATCCGCATTTTTCAACCGGTCTCAGCGTCGGCAAATAATGCACGACGTGGAATTCTCTGGGACGACATTCGTAGAATATATCCAAGACACCGAAGTCGGTGTTTCAAGATAGTGGTACCAGTTGAATTATCTTCTCTGTGATCGAACATACGATGCTGAACCTCTGCATTACTAACATGGTGTTGCCACTGGATGTCAGCAATCCTTAGGAGACAACGGTGATCAAACATAGAGTCGTCTAACATCCTCAACTCGGAGAGGCCAGGTTTCACAAGCATAGAGCAAGACCCCTCTCACCGACGCGTTGTAGATCTGACCTTTTACAGTCAGACTAAGATCACGAAGGCGACAAAAATGGTACAGATTGGCATAAGTCGCTCTAGCTTTCACTATACGTGAATCGACCTCACCACTCAAGAAATCAATACCAGCCGAACAAGAGCAGAAAAAGCCAAGGCACAAGCTGAATACACAGGAGTAAATAAACAAGTGAAGAGGAGTATCAGAACCGACAAACGTAAATATGTGGAAGATCTAGCAAGGACGGCGGAAAAGGCTGCAAGATAAGGAAACATGAAATAACTGTATGACATAACAAAGAAACTCTCTGGAAATCGTCGCAAACCTGAACGACCATTGAAAAGAAAGGAAGGCGAGGTAATCACCAACATTGAAGAGCAACAAAACAAGTGGGTAGAACACTTCAAAGAACTCTTGAATCGACCAGCTCCACTGAACCCACCCAACATCGAAGCAGCACCAACGGACCTCCCAACCAATGTTGGCCCACCAACAATTGAAGAGATAAGCATGACCATCAGGCAAATCAAGAGTGGCAAAGCAGCAGGACCAGACAACATTCCAGCAGAGGCACTAAAAGCAGACGTAGCGGCAACTGCAAGGATACTCCACATTCTCTTTTATAAGATTTGGGATGAGGAACAAGTACCAACACACTGGAAAGAAGGACTCATGATCAAAATACCGAAGAAAGGCGATCTCAGCAAGTGTGATAACTACAGGGGCATCACTCTTCTCTCAATACCGGGAAAAATCTTCAACAGGGTATTGTTAAACAGGATGAAGGACTCTGTAGACACCCAACTTCGTGACCAACAAGCAGGATTCCGTAAGGATAGACCAGATTGAAACACTACGGATCATTTTGGAACAATCAATTGAATGGAATTCATCACTCTACATCAACTTCATTGACTACGAAAAAGCATTTGACAGCGTGGACAAGACAACACTATGGAAGCTTCTTCGACACTACGGCATGCCTCAAAAGATAGTCAATATCATACAGAATTCATATGATGGATTAAACTGCAAAATCGTGCATGGAGGACAGTTGACAAAATCGTTCGAGGTAAAGACCGGTGTCAGGCAAGGTTGCTTACTCTCATCCTTTCTCTTTCTTCTGGTGATCGACTGGATCGTGAAGACGTCAACATCTGAAGGGAAACACGGGATACAATGGACATCTAGGATGCAATTGGACGATCTAGACTTCGCAGATGATCTGACCCTTCTATCCCAAACGCAACAACAAATGCAGGAGAAGACGACCAGTGTAGCAGCAGCCTCAGGTCTCAATATACACAAAGGGAAGAGCAAGGTTCTCCGATACAACACAGCATGCACCAATCCAATCAAAATTGACGGAGAAGATTTGGAAGATGTAAAACCCTTTACATATCTGGGCAGCATCATTGATGAACATGGTGGATCTGATACAGATGTGAAGGCGCGTATCGGTAAAACAAGAGCAGCATATTTACAACTGAAGAATGTCCGGAACTCAAAGCAACTGCCAACCAACACCAGGGTCAGGAGTTTCAATACAAATGTCAAGACAGTTCTACTGTATGGGGAGGAAACCTGGAGAACTACGAAAGCAATCATCCAGAAAATACAGATGTTTATTAACAGTTGCTTACGCAAAATACTTCAGATCCGTTGGTGGGACACTATTAGCAACAACGTACTGTGAAAGAGAACAAACCAGATCCCAGCGGAGGAAGAAATCAGTAAGTGGATAGGACACATATTGAGGAAAGCACCCAACTGCGTCACAAAACAAGCCCTCACATGGAATCCTCAAGGCCAAAGGAAAAGAGGAAGAACAAAGAACACATTACACCGGGAAATGGAAATAGACATGAGAAGAATGAACAGGAATTGGATGGAACTAAAAAAGGAGGCCCAGGACAGAGTGGGTTGGAGAATGCTGGTCGGCGGCCTATGCTCCACTGGGAGTAACAGGCGTAAGTAAGTAAGTAATCTATTAATGTGTAACATCGAGGTAAGATATGTGAAAAAAATGACATTGATGGAGGAATTAGAATAACAAATATTATATATATAGGTAAGATTATTTATTTGGACGCATGAATATTTGTACAAAGGGACAGCAAATACATATGCTACATACACTTACTGTTTATATCATTTGATTTTCTTGTAGGATGCAATACCGCCCGGGTGACCAAACAGAAGCAGGTGGTTTTCTTAGGGAGCCACACCCAGAGCCTTTCACCAAGAGGTCTAATCCACAAGGCAATGGAGCAACGTTAAGAGATGCAGTCCCATGATATCCAGTAACCAACGGTTGGTACATACGCCATTTTTTCCTTCAAGATACTGGAGCCTATGTGCACCACTGGTTTGGGATCAGGGTTCTTCAACCCCCCTCGGTGGATCCTCCATATCCGCAGACCCGATTAAAGAGCCAGATATTCGCTTTTCGCTCTCTCGAATTCGTAAACAACATTCCCGCAGCGAGAAGGTAGTGAGTAGGACTTCCCTGGCAGTAGTTGTATGCACGTGGTCATGTGAGATCAATACGAGAGGGAGAACTGACTCTCTCCATTCTCGGTCGTACTAGGGTACTTAGGGGCAAGGCCGGCAACTGCAAGACACGGTGCTCCGCCTTACGATTCGAAGCCCGAGATGGGAATCGAACCCACGACCCTGAGATTAAGAGTCCTATGATTCAAACCACATAAAATTAGATATTACTAACTTACACTTGTTACCCCTCATGGAGAAGCACAGACCGATCACCAGCATTCTCTATCCAACTCTGTCCTGAGCAATTCTTTCCGGTTGATATTCATCCTTTTCATGTCTGCTTCCAATTCTCAACGAACTGTGTCCCTTGGTCTTCTAGTTTTCCGTTTCCTTTCAACATTCCTAGTTAGAGATTCCTTCGTGATGCAGTTTAACGATTTCCAAAATGTGCGTCCTATCCACCTCCAACGTCTTTTCCTAATTTCCTCTTCAGATGGAAGTTGGTTTGTTCTCTCCCACAGTAGTCTGTTGCTGGTCGTATGCGGTCAATAGTTGTTGAGTATCTTCAGTAGACAACTATTTATAAATACTTGCACCTTCTTGATGATGGATTTAGTAGTTCTCGAAGTTTCAGCTCCGTACAGTAGAACTATCTTGACGTTCGTATTGAAGATTCTGACTTTGATATTGGTTGAGAGTAGTTTTGAGTTCCGTATGTTCTTCGATTGTAAGAATGTTGCCCTTGCTTTGCCAATCATTTCCTTCACGTCTGCATCAAATCCTTCTCGTCCATCGACGATGCTGTCCAGGTACGTTTCCACCTCTTCCAGATCTTCTCAACCAAGTGTGATTGGGTTGGTTTTCTCTGTGTTGTATTTGAAGATCTTGCTTTTTCCCTTGTGTATGTTGAGGCCTGCTGATGCAGAAGCTGCTGCTACATTAATTATCATCTGCATTTGCTGGCGTGTGGTATAGAAGGGCTAGGTCATCTGCGAATTACAAATCGTCTGGTTGCATCCAACCCGCCCATTTTATTCCGTGCTTCCCCTCAAAAGTTGAGGTCTTTATAATCCAGACAACCATCAGAAAAAAAAGGAGAAGAGTAAAAAGCCTTGCCTGACTCCAGTCCCCACTTGGATGAAAATAGATATAAGACATTTAGTCATGAATTGGTGATTGTCTAGAGTTAGAAATTGATAAGATGGGTTATGTAATAATTAAACAAGATTTGAAGAGTTTACATAAGTTTAGAGAATTGAGTGAATGAAAAAACTGATGAACGAAAGGATAATTTTAGTTTACATATAATAAGAATTAGTTTGGTGGAGACCACATAACAAAATAAACACGAATAAACTAATCATAACATTGATAACAAAACATAATAATTTACGAAGGTAATGATGAGTTGGTTACTGTCTCTTTCTGGACACATAAATTAGGATTGATTTCCTTAATTGCCACTGCTTCGCTAAACCAGAGACGCTACGTTTGTTTTGTCTGCCGGTAATTTTGAAGAATTGAAAAATTTCAATGGTATGCTTGGTATCAATTAAATGCAGGGGTATTGCATTATTTGGAGACATTGCGACTTTCGGTCCGAAATTCTTTGGAACGTGCATGGAAATGCGGACATGTACTCTCCGTACTTCAAATGTGTACTTTGGCATGCACATGTAAGTTGGCAAGTGCAGTTGGAGGAACTGAGAAAAGAGGACCTGTCAGTTTTGGTTTGTTTGAGTCAGTAGTTCGTTTTATGTAATGTTGTCGGTCTTGTCCATGGATAGGCAATCTTTATAGAGATATTTATTCTGTGGTTACCTATACCACATAACATTCTAAGCAAAGACTTCGATCTTATTTCGGTCATACAGAAATACTGACTAACGAGGAGTAGGCTGGTTTTTGACCGCGTCGTGGGTACATTGATCACATCGTTACTATATGCCATGCTTACAGAACGCCAACGAACATTGCTTTTCTTGACATTAGAGTCGTCTTCGACTAGGCCGACAGAGCTGTGCCTTGGTACTGTCTGTGGAACAGAAGTGTCTAGAACGTTAAGCGACATGTTGAAAGTTTTGTACACAGACACATCAAGCAGTGTGAGAGGACATAACTACCTCGAACTATCATTCCAGTTTATCAACAAAGTTAGACACGGTTGCCAAAACTCACCATTCCTCTTAAACTTCGCCCCTGATATTCTGGGAATAGATCCAAAGGACATGGTGATGTGGAACTGTCAGTAAGCTACAACGTAGGACCAGGTACATATATGCATAGGTCCAAGTTGCCACACCTCATTAACACAACAGATGAACACCAAATTCATAGTAGTCACTTCAAAGGTAGTAATATATAGAAGATTGTGTATAAGGAATTAGTTCGTAGAAAGAAAGGTATCAAGTAATTTAAATCTCACGGTTCAAGGGAAGATAAAGATTGTATACACATACGTCAATGTGATCGATTCTGAGCCATGTCACTCAGTGTCCAACCGTTGGTTACGATAGTGTGGATCTGTCAACTGTAGAGAGACTATGATCTTGAGTAGGTGGGTGATATTATCTTACTATGGGACGATGAAAAAGCTACATAAATCGCACTTCATCAGTTGGTAATCCGTGTTCGTTACTGCGGTTCGATAGTATGTGTTTGGTAAGTGACGATACTTTAATATGTGCTCATATCTTGAAACAGTGACATCGGTGCCTTAAATATATCTTATTAATGCTTTCTTACAGCCCCCACACCGCCCACTATTTGCCAAAGTTGGAATTTAGATGAGGTGGAGGTGGTCACTTTATGATATAGTCCCATGATTATATAGCTCGAGTCTATCTCCCCATACTTGGTTGAGGTCTTAGAGGTGCTGTAACTTAGTGGTTTGGGACGTTATCAAACGGGACTTGAAACGGAAGTCAGTAAATATCTTGATGTAGTGCTTTAGAACATTCTTATTGAAATAGAGATGAGGCCACTTAACTGAAAATCGTTCTTGACATCTTTAACTGAACTGTATCTGTTATATAATACCATTTTTGGTTACTTATTTAAGAAATCTACGCTCTACTATTCTTCTTCACAAAATTACCGCTTCATTTCTGTGGAGAATTGTTTAAGTGATCTACTGTCCTAGCTTTATGTGCTATAATGATTAAAATCCTAACTACGGTCTAATTTTAAAGCCATTTAAATAACAAATGAATTTTTAAAAATATCTTACCACATTTTTCATAAAATAATTGTTTATGTTGTGAACGAAATCCATTATAGAATGGCTTAATTCATTAAGATAAATACAGGGTGGCCAGGTATCAAGGCATAAAGCATGCAGTTGGTTACTTTCACGCATAGTCGCTTCTGCCAATGCAGAGAAGTCACGATTTTTTAAGGCTGAAATAATCTCTTTCTCATGTATTTTAGCAGATGGTACACGGCCATTTCGAAACAAATCACTAGTTTTTACGCAGCAAAGCATTGCATCAGTCGAGCCAACAGGTTTAGGGTTTTCATTAGTCTATTAAGCAAATCAAAAACCAGTGCAAAAAAAGGTAGTATGGCTATAAATGACGATATCGAAACTACATAATTCAAATATATTACAGCAAACAGTTTGATATAATTAGCTTATCAGTAGTCATAAACCGACAAAAGTAAATGTTACCGAATAATAAAAGGTACTTAGATTTCTGACCAGTCTATGAGTAATCAAGTTATTTCACTCCTAAGAATTATTTGAATGAATGTTTCATATCAACGTTTATACCAAGCACACTGAATCCATATATCTTACGCTTATGACTGACCAGTGCATACCTTTAAGATTCTAAAATTCAGATATTACATTAGCATTCGACTCTGTTGATCGTGAGGTTCAATGGCAGTGTTTGTCCCTGAAAGGAGTGCCAAAGAAGTACATTGACCTTGTAAAGGCTCTCTACTCGAACACAACTGGTAGAGTGAGAGCTTATGGCGAACTGTCATCAGAATTGATTACCTCGAGTGATGTTTGTCAGGGCTGTCCACTCTCTCCCTTCTTGTTTAACTTTGTCGTTGATGTGCTTTTAGAGATAACATTTTACACATCAACATTTTCAGGGGTTGAACTGCTACCAAGAGATTCACTTGTTCACTTGGAATATGCCGATGACATAATTCTATTTGGTGAAGACGCTGACAAAATGCAGTCTTTTGACCACTCTAAGCAACAATGCAAGCATGTTCGGGATGCGATTCTCTCCCTCGAAATGCAAAATGTTGCTTCAGGATTGGGTTCCATCGACACCCGAACTAGTGATAGGGAGTGAAGTAGTTGAGTGTGTCGACCGCTGCACTTATCTTGGAAGTCTCATCAGCCCTTGTAGTCTGGTGTGTGACGAAATCTCAGCACGGATACAGAAGGCTCGACTAGCTTTTGCCAACTTGCGTCATTTATGGCGCAAGCGAGATATCCGTCTATCAACCAAAGGACGTGTTTACTGCGCAGCAGTTCGTCCCGTCCTACTTTATGGCAGTGAAACATGGCCGGTAAGAGTAGAGGATATTCGTAGGTTACTAGTATTTGATCATAGGTGTCTTCGAAGCATTCCTCGTATATCATCGGACTATCGAGTAAGTAACGCAGTTGTTAGGAAACGGGTACTAGGTAAGGATGGCAAATCAATTGATGAAGTAGTGAAAATTCATCAGTTGAGATGGCTGGGACACGTGTTACGTATGCCCAACGACCGACTGCCTCGACGTGCGATGTTCAGTGGTATAGGAGTAGGTTGGAAGAAAGCTAGGGGCGGCCAGACCAAAACATGGCACAAGTCCATGAATTCATTGACAAGTGGACTGAGTCATGTTGGTAGGTGTAGACTACCTGGTTGGGGACCGCGAGATGATAGCAACCGATGGTTAGAGACTCTGAATGACATGGCTCAAAATCGTTTGCAATGGTGCAGGTGCATACACTCTTTGTGTTCTCCCAAATTCTAATCTCTTGATTCCTCCTTGTCCCTTTTTTCTCTTCCCAAATTTATTTCACTGGATTATACTCTTTAAATAACATCTCTAAACCCTAATCTTTCCGATTACTGCTTATACTCTTACTAGCTATACCACTACGGGATTTGAATCGACAACTGCATCTCTGTGCTAATGTGGTGTGGCAACTAGAACTGATGTACGTATGTACGAAGTTCTACGTTGTTACTGATTGAATGACTAAGGATAGCAAATTGCGAGATTCAAAAATGTAACCTGCTAGGGAAAGGTAATCAGCTTATGTTATTCGATATATATATTTTTTGAACACATGAATATTGGTACAAAGGAGCACCGAATACATATGTGCAACACAAGTCACTTGATTTGTGTGTAGGATGTGCCCAAACCGAAGCTTATGAATCATCTACGACATGGTACGATGTTTTGAAGAATGGGAGAACAGAGATAGTGATATCAAGAAACACCAATTCGTGAGGTCAGATTACCGATCTTGACATTCGGTACGTGTCATGATGAATAGGAAATTGATTAATATCCCACGACCCAATCTTGTTTAATGTTGTATGATCTGCAGGTATCACTGGATGATAACAGACCATACTGTGATTCCTAATAAACTGGTTATAATCAAAATAAAACTTCGAAACTTGCCACAACAAATCAAGACGCACGCAGATGAAATTGACAAGAGGAACCGTGGGGAAATCGGAACGGTACCAGCATTAATTGAAGTAAGAATTATTAAACACAGAGAATATGGTTCCAAAAGAAGGAACGGATTTATTTCACGCTAGTAAAGATGAATGTTTCGTTACATTAAGGTTGAGAAGCCACAATTACGTTCTTAGTATTATTTAGTTAGGAACTGTCAGGAAACATATATTCAACTTCATAAATAGTTGGTATTCCGTTACATAGTATTACTTCGCATTGTCAATCGTTCCTAAAAATAGTGCAGCACAGTAGATTTAGACGTGACCAAACATTGCTCGGAATAGAAGCGGTCACGCTTCAACTTTAAGTATGATATATGAATCCCCACTTAGTTTTGCTCTTCTTCATCATACCTTCCTTTCTCTACCCCTTTACAAGTTTATTTGTGTGGCGTATATATATATATATATATAAATTGGTGCCGTTGTACCAATGTTTACGTGTTTAAATAAATAAATCTGTCAACCGGTTAGTATTTTAACAACTGAAATATATTCACAACAAATCAAAACCAAAAATACTGATTGAAATCCCCAAGATAATAAATTTAGGTCTTAAAGTGTAGAATATTATGAATGTCTACCACACTGCAAGTAGTGAGTACTGTTAATCTCCTGGATTTTTACAAATGTAGCTAGTGTGTTTAGTATTCTCTCTACAATTTTACATTGATATAAAAGGAGACGAATTTAGTTAGGACCTCGGATGCCTTACCTATAAAATTCACTTGTTCTGTATACTTTGTCCTAACAATCACTGTCTACGTTGATGTTTGAGTTGTCTTCCATTTATTACATAGAACTGTAGTTTGAAACTACCTCAGAATTAATCTAGGTTTTAATCTGTTTTACAAAAACACAGGTGTAGTGAAAAGAATTCAAATAACTCTTTATTGCTTAAGTTTAAACACCCACTCTCGAAATGCACTTACATGGCCACGCGTATAAAGCCACTGTCAAGAAATCTTACTCACTACCTTCTTGCTGCGGGAATGTTGTTTACGAAATCGAGAGAACGAAAAGCGAATATCTGGCTCTTTAATCGGGTCTGCGGATATGGAGGATCCACCGAGGGGAGTTGAAGAACCCTGATCCCAAACCAGTGGTGCACATAGGCTCCAGTATCTTGAAGGAAAAAATGGCGTATGTACCAACCGTTGGTTACTGGCTATCATGGGACTGCATCTCTTAACGTTGCTCCATTGCCTTGTGGATTAGACCTCTTGGTGAAAGGCTCTGGGTGTGGCTCCCTAAGAAAACCACCCGTGCAGTATTACAACTATCACGCAAATCGAATGATTTGTGTGGCAACTATGTATTCAATGCTTCCTTGTATCAATGTTTTTAAGTAAATAAAAAATAAAGGTTTCAGTCCCAGAACCCAGTATACAGACCATTTCGAGATCGACGAAAATAGCAAAGATGTATTCAAGTTTAGTGCACTTTAATTTTAAAGAAACTTTCTTTACCTCTCGCTTAATACTCCCGTGTTGCGTCTCCTTTTTTTATGATTTGTAACAGTCTGTGGATGTTTGCCAAAAACTACTAGCCGTGAAGGCTTCATGAGTAAGGAATCAAGTTTTTGACTGAAAAGTCTACAGAAGATAAAAATCAAATATTATGTTGAACTAGGTAACAACACAAAATCTAAAGCTGTCACCGGCAAGCTGAGGCGAAAACAGATGGCTTATAACAGTGCTAAGCTTTAAAGACCTTAAGTAACCGATCGATGATTTCTAGGATAATTTTCAAACTCATCACGTTCACGGGAAAACTACGAATATGAAGGGCCGTATAACCGTCATATTATTTTTATACAGTCGTGAGACCTCCACAACTAGATCAGTCACATTAGGATTCTAGTCTTAATTGCACTATGTAGCATGGTCAGTTCTGCGTAAACAATTGCTTTTAAATGATTGTAAATCTGGGGCGAAGTAATTAAGCATCTTCTAAAAGACATAAACCTCGGCCTCCAGTTACTACAGCAAACTTACAACGCATATAAGAACTCTAAGCTCTGACCAATGCGATGCAGGAAACAGCTGTTGGACAGAAGAGTGATAAGTGTGGTCTGTATGGTTGCTAGACCACTGCACAAACCCTCCTAGTAAGCTCCGACATGATGATCCAGAGCCACGCCGAGAAAGGGAAGTGTAGTCACCATCCAAACCATACATCTTTCCTAATGCAAATGCTAAGCGTATGAAAATATTATATACACATACCGAACGCTGCAGTCCCAGATGCACTAGATGCCATCCCTGCAGATGTCGGAAAATTATTTTCAGATTCCACACTCAAAAAAGAAGGGACCAACCTTCCGTCTAGTCTAGAACGCAACTGCGCTAATTTAAGGAATAAAATTGTGAGTAAAGACATACCAACTATTATTACATCTAAAAGCCTGCCTGGAAATTGCATGATCCTAAGAAATACTCACGAGCAATCCGATGACCCACTTTCCGTTAAGTTTGAACAGTGACTCCTTGAGGTCATTCCTTGTTAACACTTTAGATCTGGTTCCGACCTGTATGTTTCTTATAAGGTTTAACAATTCAACAAACATGAGACTGGTTTAAAGTAAGACTTATGGAAGAGGTGGATGGATAAATGTTTAAATCATCACTTTTACCCCCTATGGGAAATGTTAGTTTTCATAAAATGCTACTCACAATACTTGAGTAAAGCTATGTTTATCGGACAAGTAACCTCGATTTGCATTGGCGCCAAGTCACGTTAAAACTGACAGTGCCGCTCCACAATTTTCGCCATTTACAATATGTGTGTAACAAACAAATAAAAACCGAATTTTTCCATTGAAGTCATTACATGATGTTGCTCTGAGATTTCAGGTTCTTGTTTCTCACAATTTGCTACTCAACTGCAATAATTCTATTGTATTAAGTATTTTGGCGATATTCCAGAGCTGAAAAGAGATTGGTGAATTCGGCTGTGACTGAAGTCCAAGAATTTACTATAAGGTGAAATTGAATGGTACAGATCACCTGTGCACTCTCTTAGCACAATGGAGTGAGTGATATAAAAACTCAGCGAATTCAATAATCCAAATTATAGAAACGTTCATAACAAAAAATTTTAATAGTTCAAGTGGTTCTGGACGGAGTAGAAGAGGCTTGGACTTGACGGGCCTCTTCATCTAGTGACAGTGGACCGCTGAATCCTCCAGACAGAGACTTGGGTATATTACATAAAAAAATTAAGCATCCTAATTGAGTAAATTGACTTATAATTGCTAGGAATGTATACCAGCAAACCTTTTTGACTTAAATTGGTATTTAGTTATCTGCACTCTTGCTCAGCTAATGAAGTGTGTCTTCTATGGACTGCTGATTGTGAGGATAACTTCGAAAAACCTAGATACTTTGAAACACCTGTCTAATTCTTTTGAATAATGTTATATTAAATATGCCGAAAACCATTAAAAACCGAGACTCAACTAGTGTGGCCACTTTCTGAACGTGAAACGGGTGTAATGTAACAAAACGAATATGGGCGACGCTTCAACGTTATCGGTGCAAAGTTTTCTCGGAAGGCATTATTAACGTTATTCGTGTAAGACCTCAGATCGTATGATACCAGCACTCCTAGATATTTTTCAACTCGGGATACCTCTAGAGGCGAGTTACCGAAGTTAAAGTTATAGATTGCAACATGTCTCACATGGACTACCTTCTACTTCGAAGTGTTGAGAGTGGGTCCATTGTTGTCCGCCCAACTTTGAAGTCCTCCCGAAGAGCCAGTTAATTCTCTCGGATACATACTTCTCTCCGGTATTTCACATCATCAGAGAAAAGTAAAACATCTAATCGTGCCAGCTGCGAAAGATCACTCATAAAAATCAAGAAGGGAAGAGACCCCTGTATTGAACCCTGACGGACCCCACTAGGACATTCCATAGTTCTATAGAAAGAGAAGCTAACTGACTAAGCGCGCTTTTCGAATGGGAAGCTTAGTACTAACGTGATTTGCATTTATGAAACTTTTGCTGTGTTCTTACGCAACAAAAGCACCATTTCAGTTCTAAAGAATCTATCCTGAGCTATACGTTCGGTAGATTACTTTTTTTGAGTTTCACCATATGTAATAGTTACCTGTGGTTTTGCCTCAGCTTACTATTCGGTTTTTTTTCGTTTTTCACGTACAGACTAGTTTCAGTTTATATCACTCGTTTGATCCATTTTTGTCCGTTTTCATTGTGCTTTTTAGTGTTTTTTAAAGGTCTTAGGCTTTTGCAAGCATCTATAACATAGATTGCTTCAACATAATCATGAAAAACTCATGCAAACGTCCGGGATGCCGTTTCGCTGTTGCAACTGGTATGCAGTGCGACAACTACAAAGGTTGGTTCCACGAAGCATGCACAGATCTAACATCAACTGCTTACAACAGACTCGGCAAGTCAGACCAAAAATGGGTGTGTGTCACGTGCAGCACGGACGCTGTAGTCTTGCTGAGTAACATCATTGTCCTACTGACAGGTCTTCGGAACAAGTTGTCAGTTAACTTGGACAACGACAGTAAGAAAACCGGTAGACAAACAAGAGCGTGCGACGGATACAAAAACAGGAATGTCGATAGGTATACCATCGATGGAGCATCCATCAACACTAATGATGACGTGTCGAGGCTCAGCATCATCATTACGTCGAAGGTATTAGACTCCCTAAGCAAACTCGGATCTCCCAGCTCAGGGTCCCTGAACACAACAGTGGTTCCCAAAAACCCTATAGGTGATTCGACCCACGTTAAGAGAGCCCAAAAGAACCAGGCATCACCGCCTAAGCCCAGCAACCCAAGTGTTGCTGTACGGAAATTAACTGGTGAGTTGGTCGCACAGTCTACTCCCAAGATTGTTCTTCCTGTCAATAAAGAGCCCAAGCCTCAAAAACGCACACTGACCTCCAAACAGCAAGTTGTTAAACATTAACTCACCGTGAAACCTGGTAAATTAACAACAGTTCGTGACAATTCTCTCATTATCATGAACCTCGTTGATAATCCTGACCATCCTCTCAGTCTGCAAGACAAAAACGACAGAATGCTCTGGGGTGAATTGAACAAGGAGCTCAAACTTTCTAGAATAGAGCCGTCGATAGTCATCCGGCTCACTCGAAGAAAGGACTCTAAGTATCTAAATCACCCAAGGCTTCTCCGAGTAACACTTAAGGATGCTACCGATGTAGAGGACATCTTACTAGCAAGTCACTTGCTGAAATCAGATGGTAACGTAAGAATGTTGCCCGACATACCGTACTCTAAGCGCAATATCATACGAAACATCCCTAAAGAATCTCGCGAGAAGTTTTTCCGCGGAAGAAACATAATTGTGCAAGGTATACCGGAATATGCAGACCCTACTCAATCAAGTTCTGACATCAGGGAATAAAAATTCATCAAACAGTCCTTGAGGCTTAAAAACATACTTACTCAACATGTGGCGAGACTAGCCAAGAAGGATGGTGATTCTAGACCCCGTCCAATGAAGATAACCTTCCCATCTTCACACATGGCGGCTGAAACTCTGGAAGCATTTCGTGCCAACGGACGTCGAATGCCACCTGGAATCTACATGCACCCGGATAGGCCATATGAAGCCAGGACTAAGCACAAATGCAAGTTGGAGCTGACCATTCCACTTGTGGACTGTCTAAATCATAAAAAAACGTGTAAAGGACAGGGCCTACCACCTCGGTAAACCTCACATAGGTGGGCTACCTGTTCATTCACATAAGGCTCATACAGAAAAACAGGATGAAGCTGACGCGTTCCAAATTGAAAGCATAAACTGCTTATATATGAATGCTGCGAGTCTACTAAACAAACTGGTTGAATTACGTGAACTTAGCAACGCTAATAAGGCTCACCTGATAGGAATATCTGAAACCTGGATATCTTCTCAGTTCTCAGACCAAGAGTTAGCAATACCTGGGATGACTTTGTTCCACAACGACAGAACAACAGGAATTGGGGGTGGAGTAGCCATATACATAAGCTCTTGCTTGGAGGTGCACCAAGTTCACAACCTCAAGTTTAACAATCTTGAGGAATCCATATGGTGCTCTGTAAGATTGTCTAGTACTTCGAAGTGTCTAGTCGGTGTCATTTACAGGAAGCCAACTGCTGACATCGAGTACGATAGTCGTATGCTGGAAGGACTATCCCGCTCTACCCATCTCGGTTTCAAACACATCCTGATTCTAGGGGACTTTAATCTCCCTAGAGTCAACTTTGCGGAACACACGTACACTGGAGGCGACAACTCAATTGAAGCTCGGTTCTTCAACCTCATCGATGACTTGGGCTTATATGAAAATGTGAGGTCGGCAACTCGTTGAAAAAACAGTCAGACACCATCGCGGTTAGATTGTGTATTCACAAACGAAGAATTCCTAGTTGACAACCTCTCAATCCTGGCTCCACTGGGAAAGAGCGATCATGCCATCATAGCCTTCAGTTTTGTCATCAAAACTAAGCTAAGGTATCCCAACAATAATTTGCGTTGGAATTTTAAACGGCTGAATGTGCCAGCTCTACATGACTATCTACAACAGGTGGTTTGGGATGTTCACCCCTAACTCGATGTGGATGGTCATTGGGACTTCTTACTGCACACGCTCTTATGTGTTACAAACCATTCAGTTCCTCAAACGGTTCCCAAAAGCTGCAAGCCACCTACAGTAATCAAGAACCGTACTCTTCGCCTGCTAAGACGCAAAAGGCACTGTTGGGCGGAATACAAACGAACTAACAACGACGGAGCGTATAGGCAATATAAACATATCAGGAACATATGCACGAAGGCTATAAGAGGAGACAGGCTTCATTACCAGACAAAGCTTATGGACAAATTTGCCTCTAACCCTAGGAGTCTATTCCGTTATGCAGCCTCTCTTCGTCAAGCCAAAACAGGAGTTTCTCAAGTGCTAGGTCTTAACGGCCCGACCAACCTTCTGGCGGCACATTACCCTCAAATATTTCAGCCGGCTGACATCAACTTTATTGACGACAGTTTCATCGGCAATTCCACAGGACTTTCCGAAGTGGGCTTAAGCGCTGACTTGGTGTTCCGGAAACTGCAGCACTTAAGACTAGATACTTCTCCTGGCCCGGATATGGTTCATTCTGCCATACTGAGGGAGGCAGCCTCAATCCTGGCAACGCCGCTTAGCGTGATGTTTTCACACTCGCTAAGTCGAGGCAAATTATCGGAAATTTTGAAGTTGGCTCACATCACACCAATTTTCAAAGGGGGTCGACGCAATGAACCTTCAAGTTATCGGCCGGTGGCTCTTCTGTCATTACCTTCAAAACTCATGGAGTCCCTGATACGCGATGGTTTAAACGACTATCTACTGTAATTAAATTTCCTCTCACCCCAACAGCATGGTTTCAGGAAGGGTTACTCTTGTATAACCAACCTGCTGACTGCGGTTGATAGATGGACAACCATCCTCGATCGCAAGGGAAAGATTGATATCATTTACCTTGATTTCTCAAAAGCTTTTGATAAAGTTAACCACTTGTGTCTTATCAATAAGCTCAAACGACTAGGCATCAAACCACCTCTAATCGATTGGCTTACCTCATACCTAGAAAATCGACACTTTAATGTTACGGTTAATTTCACCTTATCTCAGGCGATGGAATGTCCTAGTGTAGTCCCCCAGGGCTCAGTATTAGGGCCTCTTCTCTTCTTGATCTACATTAATGATCTTCCTCAACATGTAACGTCAGACTTATTACTTTT